GATTAAGAGTCAGATTGACAGTTGGGGATAGGTTAGAGGCCAGGTATTTTTATGGTCTCTGTGTTGACAGGTTTTTGGTGATGAAAGCTCCATACCGAGGACTGGATAGGGAGCTCCCATAATAAAAATATAAATCTGAATGATAACGATTAATGCAATATAGAACTTTCAGGGGTAGGCCACTAGGCACCTGCACCCCTTCTCCGCCAACCCCCGGTCTGATAGAGACATCTCAGTTATTTGTCTAGTGTCAAGAAGTAGGAACCTAAGCTCCCTGCTGGGAAACTTAGTTCCCTTTCTTTTTGCAGTGAAATTTTTTTATTTTTTTCCTTCTGTTTTTTGAACACCTTTAGTCAACTGCTGAGCTAGGCGACAGGCTGGGATAATCTAGAGCATTTTAGTTCTCACCAACTCAGCTAACGAGCACATGCAGTTTCGTTGCTCTGTGCAGGTTTGGCTGTGACAGTCCTGTTTGGACTGAAAGGCAGGCAGTGAAATACCTCACAAGGGTGGGGGCACTTAAGCCTGGTTGGCCCCTGGCTGATTTGTCAGTGTCCCCCAGGCAGACAGTGCCCCACCTTCGACCTGGGACAACCTGTCAAGGGGAAGCTACCCTGCATTATCCTCATGATACGATGAGTGCTAACCCCCACTCCCCCGTCCCTCCTGGGCTGGCTAGGAGTGGGTTCTGGGTACCTTTATTCCCCTTGCTTCCTGGGTTGTGTGTGGATCCCATACAGCTGGTCAAAAGTGTCCCAAAACAAGTAGGTGGCCCACTGATAAAAGGTGGCCCACAAAACAAGTAGGTGGCCCACTGAGCAAAATGGTCTCATCTCAAATGGTTTCACTGCTAACCTCTTAACCAGTTGACATCCGCGGTGTTAAACCCCCTTCCCATCCAGGCCATTTTTCAGTATTCAGCGCTGCGGTACTTTGACTGACATTTATTCCGTCATGCAGCGCTGTACTGAAATGAATTTTATACCCTTTTTTGGGGACAGATAGAGCTCCGCCGATCGCCTATATGTGAAACACCCGGTAACGGGTGTGTGCATTTAGCGGGTCTTTTCTGCCCGTGCGTGCCCGCTAGGGGGCGCGCGCGAGCAGAAAAAAATTGCCGTCTGGAGACGGCAACCCGCAGATGCTGCAGTGCCGTCCGTCCGTTTTTTTACTACGGGCGGACGGCAAGAGGTTAAATCAAGGAATATTCTTTGTTGGAAAGGAGACCGATATCTCCAATATGCCAGCACAGTAACAGCACGCTAGTGATCAAAACCAGTAGAGTATTCGTCTACCCCACCAAAACAAACCTAGCACTCTGCCAGGGAAAGTTATTCTATTTCTGAGGCTAGGGCAAGTTCCTTTCATTACTTGCAGGCCTCTGCCTTCATAGCCAAGCCCAAACTTGACCCTAGACCAAATCCCCAAGACCTCCAAAGCTCTCAGGTAAGTCTTCTTGAGCAGTGGGGAGTGGGACATCCATTAGCTTTTGTTGATTTTCTAGGCAGCCACCATCTCACTTGCTGGAGTGTGGTTGGTGGTTCCAGGGGCTACCAACTAGACTTTTGCCCTCAGCTTCCTCAGTTCATGCCTTCTAACCTACCTCTGTCACTGCATGGATTAGCAGACCTCTGTGGATCCTGTGGGTCTTCTGGAGCAAGGGGTCCTAGCCCCAATTTCTCTGGAGTAATGGTTCAGGGGATTTTATATCACCCTGTTCGCAGTCGCAATAAGAAAAAGTGGTAATTCGCCCCTTAAGCCCTCACATTTTTCTTTTGGACCCGGCATGCTGTAAGGAATCCACCAGATCTGTCACGCCCTCATCAGGGAACTTTTCTGACTTCTGTGGACATCAAATCTTCACTCGCCTAATTTTTCCCAGAATGTGCTAGAGCTTCTGCATTGTGGGATCACAACATCCACCTGTCAAGGGTCCAGCGCAGGTCCTGGCTGCCGATAGGGTTAAAATCATTCAGACCTTGCAGAGGTTTGCATGGGTCCTGACACTTTATCGAGCAATGTGGGAACAAACTCATCGCTTGGAAAAACCTTGGTCTCGCTTAGGTGTGACTCAAAGCCAGGGGTTCTTCCCCAGGTGACACCAACGTCTCCACTGTCAGCTTTGGACTCTTCAGTCCAGGAGTCAAGCAACCCTTTGCTTCTGCATGATGATGGTGGCCACTTTTAGAGGTAAAGCCATTGCTCAGTTTTACTCCAGACTTCGACAAACCAGAGATTTTGATACAAAATGAGATACCAGAATTCCAGCGTTGTCCGCCATTTATTTCAAGGGCATGGACAAATCGGCAGGTAGCCTATATCGGTAAGCAACGCCTATATCTAATGAGGCAGTGTGGAATAGAGAACGTACAGCAAGGTATACAGAATGAGGCAGCATGGAATAGGGAACATATAACATGTTGTTGAATAGGGAATTACAGAATGGCATATCAATGAGGTGTTGTGGAATATGAACACACAGCATAGTATATCGAATGAGGTGGTGTGATATAGGGGACTTGGAGCATTGCATATTGAACAAGGTGATGTGGAACAGGCAATGTACAAAGCCTATAGAGTGTACTAGCAGCAATATTTGTGTATCTTAATAGAATGATCCCAGTCCCACTCAGACCTCCCATCAACATGGACCCACAATTGAGAGCGACAGGTTAGCTGATCAATTAGCAAAAGGATGAGGAGGGGTGTGTGCCTCCAACTATATTGTGCTCCATCAGCCACCTTGATTGCAGTAATACCACAACTGATCAGTCCCATGGTCTCAGGTAGGGATGCACCGATACCAGTATTTCGGTTATGAGTGCCGATACTTTTTTTTAGGTACTTGCCAATACCGGAGGTCTAATTACGGAAGCCAGGCGGCGTGTAATTACTCGCCACCTGGCTTCCTGAGAAGCCAGGCGGCATGTAAAGACTCGCCAACCAGCTTC